AAATTTAAATATAGGATTATATATTGGATAAATTTAATTTAAAGTTATTAATACCAATTTTTTAAAATTTAACTTTTTAATACTGTACTAAATTTAGTACATTGTACTAAATTTAGTATAGCAAACAGATACTTGTTAATTGACAAAATTGATTAACTTAGTATAAAAAAAAGTTTATCTTGAAGCAATTTTAAATTCAGCCTATATTAGATTTATATAGTAAACTGAGTTATATTATACTATGTTTATTCTTCAGTTGACTGAAGAATTATCAATTAATTCTAAATACTATATAGGGTTTTTGCCTTGAAAATAACCCTATAGCAATAAAAATTTTTTTTAAGTAAACAATGATTGAAGATTGTGTAATCAAAACAATCTAAATTTGATTTGCTGCTAATTTTAGATATGCTGATCATCGATCTTTGCAGATTTCAGGATGTATTTATACCGAGCATAAATTAATCAATTAAAATCAATTAATACTATAATATAAAAAATAAGAAAATAATTTTTTTTATTTACATTGATAAAAAATTTAATAAATTCACTATGTTAAATAATAATTTATTAAATATTACTAGTATTATTTATACACTTTTTTTATATCAAGATAGCTATCAAATAATTACCATATTCTATAAACTAATTACTAGTTTTATTAGCATTGCTATACTTGAAACTGTGTTACAGAAAAATTGGTTCTAAAACAAAAAATTGTGTTAAAATACATTGTATAGAGAATAATGATTGAAGAGCTTAATTTAAAAAATGAGAATGTTAGGAATACTTATTGAAGCTGGGTTGAATTCACATTCAAAGATATTTTCTTATAAATATATACACTATTTATTAATTATTCACATAATCATGATGTAATTTGTGAATAAATAAATACTATATAATTGATTTTATATTTTATTATGTAATTAATGTGGAAATCAAGTATAGTATAATAAAATTTGATGTAATTAATTTGAAATTTGATATAATTAATTTGGAAATCAATAAAATTTGACGTAATTAATTTGGGAGCCAAATGTATACATATAAAGAACATAAAATAATAAAGAAAAGAGTTACCTTTTACTTTTATTCCAAGAAAATACTAAAATAATTGATAAAATACATACCTCTGTATTGGGGTATTGGTGATTATCTTTCATTGTTTGAATATATAATAGGCCTAGTTATAATCATATGATCAATTGATCGATCGATCGGTTTATCGATCAATTTATATTTTTTTTGCAAACCTGACTTTTATACTAGTTGTACTAATTTCTTACTCCAAGATATATAATTTAAGTAGTCTGCTGGAATAAAAGATGAATAAGAAAAGGCTAGAAGTTAAGTAGCTTTGCGCTAAAGAATTGCTAAAATTTGGTTAATAGTTAAAAAAATTTTTATATAATACTAGAAAGTATAGTATTGTATTGATCACTCAATAGCAGAAGGGAATCATTTGTGTATGTCTTTATATTGAATAAGAGAATCTTATATTTATAACTAAAAAATTTTTTATTTTAAAATTGCAGACAAAGAATATCTTTGTAGGAGTTATCAACATGTTGATGAATTTTTGTATATAAATATTTTTTTCGATTACTTAATAATAGTAAGAAGCAATAGTATTTAATTGACTATTTTTATCAAAATTATTATTATAATAATTGAAAAGAAATTTCTTTACTACCTGATTTTTTTATAATATAAACTTTTATGATTTCTAAACTATTAAATCAAAAATAGTGGTATTGTTTTATATTTGGTAAAAATTTAAAGTTATTTTTTAAAAAAGAACTAAAATTATGCCAAACTCATTCTGTACTACTTTTATATTGAATTATATTATTTCCTTTTGATGAATTATTTACAATAGTTTCTATATCATCAATATTATTAATGTAATTATCTTTATAAACTTTTTTAATTTGCTCAGAAAATAAATCACAAATGAATTTTGTATACCCAGAAATTATAAAATTAATGATAACTTCTTTATACCAACCTAATGAACATAGCTACGACCAAAACCAAAGTGATAAATTATTTTTATTTTGATCGCTAAAGTTATTACAAGTTACTCTTAATTTTTTTGCTCTTCTGGTTTAAAAAAAGTAATAGACTATTTAACGTAGTATTAGCACCTTTCGAGACTTCTTCAGGAAGTTTGTTTTTATCAATTAAAAAATTTAATTGATAATTTTGTTTTCCCATTTTGCAAACACCAAAAATATTTACAGAAAAAAGAGATTTAAAATAAAGTAAACCAACTTGTTGTAGCAAATATGGTATATGAACACTTTGTGCCCAATTGTAACAAATATGTGCAATATCCAAGTTATTTTTACTCCTTTTAATATTGTTATTATAATATTATCTTTCAAGATCTGCAGCCTCTTTTATGTTTATTATATTTGGCTTGAACTTCATTATATTCATTAACATTCTGTTTGGCAACTAACAATTTAGCTTTAAAAGAGATGCAAACCTCACAAAGATCACTTGTATGTGGCTGAAATCAAAAATTAGGAACTATTTCAAACTATAATTTTATAAACGTGAAATAAGAAATAATTTTTTCTGATTCATTATGGATAAGATAAAAATTTTTTTTATATTCATTATAAACCGAATTGTAGGTTTGGCCAGTAGGGAGATAAATAAAAACCTCGAAATTATCTTGATGCTATAATAGAGAAAGAAACCCATAAATTTTTCTATATTGCACTGGAAATTGTTTAATTGGTAATGTTATACTAAGGTCTAAAAAAACCCTAAACTCAGTTTTAGATGCATGTTCAGAATTTCCATAAACATGTTCAGTTAAACCATTTGATTGTAAATGATTTTGTAATATAGAAAGTAAATAATTATTAATCCTACATAATTTTAAATATATAGGCCTACAAAAAGATAAGAAATAATTATAATTGTATTTATACATATATTTTTATATTTTATTTTTTTCTTTTTCATTACTAATTTCAAATGATGTTAATTGTAATTTTACAAAAAGTTCAAGCTTACGTTCTTCTAAAGCTTTTAATTTAAAATATCTCTCAAAAAAATGTTTAAATCCTACTTTTTCAAAACAAGTTCTAAGGTCTTTCTGTTTCTGTTTTATATGGCAAGTACAATTATTAGAATTTTAAAAATGATTTTAAATCATGAATCATATCCAAAACTAATTCATTTTCTTCATAATCTTCTAATTCTAATTCAACTAAGTTATAAACAAGTTTAAAATCATCAACAGTTGGTGGTTGTAACATTTTTTTAGATATAGTACAATAAATTTTTAAAAATTGAATAGTCAAATCTTTTTAAAAATACAAATACTAATTGATATTTAACTAAGTTAACACAATATATTGTATATAATAGAGGTGTAGTGATTTAGTGTAGTAGTTTAATCGTCACTCTCTTCAAGCAGCAGATCTAGAGTTTGAATCCCACTGGTGACAATTTTGAAAAATAGGCCTGTGTATGGTTGACAGCTTTCTATCAATTGAATCCAGATTAATTTGTAATCTTGGTTACACCATCTAGTAATGGAAGCTTTGGCGCAATAAATCTAGGAAACCGGAATAACCAAAAGCCTATTTGGCAAGTTCCAAGTTTGGAGGTAGTAGTGATCTATGATGGTACTACAGGAGGGCTGAATTCAAACTGGGGCCTGAGATCGGAGAACCGAGCAACCAGGTCCTAATAGTAGAGGACATACCAGCCAAACTGCTAGGTTGTCACACCGAAGGAAAAGGACATACACTCTGAAAGTATGAACCAAAAGGAGAGCATCCTTCAGGCATCTAAAGCCTGGGCAAACCGACCCTTCTGGGTTGCCGGCTGGAAGTAAGGGAGGGACTAATAAAAAATTCAGGTAAGAAAATGGTCTAAATGCAAGATACTGGAGTTGCTAAAAACCAAAACAAGAGCAAAAAGTATGTAATGAGTGCCTAGTTAGAAAAGTTGGTGCTTGAGAAACATCTGTAGAACAATAGCACCCCAAAAGGTGGTATGAAATACAAATACGGAATGGCAGGTCAATATGTACTAATTAGGAAGAAGTTATAGAAACAAGCATGTGAATACATATGTGGGATATATACTACTATGTTAAGTTTACCTCGAGGATAAACTAGGTCTATATGGATTAGTAAGTTCTAAAGCAAGGAGCGAAATCTAGATTGAGTGATATCCAAAATCTAGTATATGAATAGTGAGGTAAACCTATCGGGTTAGAGGGTGGATGGAGGTAGTTAGAACCAGATAGTTTAAATAGATACTCTCCTAGTTGGGTGCAGATATGGCAGATAGTGTAGAACCTTCGGGCAGACTACTTAAATTAGGCACTCAAAAGGTGCACATATAGCTTAATGTACCATCATTGTAATTACATATAAAACTCCATCTATACTCTAATAAAAAGTTTCCCAGGCCAATGTAGATCACCTTAATACTAAAAAATATATATATATATATATATTTTTAATATTGAGGTGACCACTTAGGCCTCTGGCACTTTATTAGTTCAAACAGGTAGGCTGTCCGAAGACAGCTTACATATTACATCAGTATAACGAGAGTACAACTAGTCACACGTACAACTTTTGGT